TCAAAGTGGTTCCGTTGTTTTGTAAACAATAATACAGCCTATTTTCAAATTCTGCACGAACTTTGGCAAATGTTGTTCTAGTAATGGCGCGACATGCTTGCGTAATTCTTCCTCGCAATTCCCCAAGTGACGCAGGTTGAGTTTTATAAACAACTGACACAGAAAAAAGTCAGGTGGTGCCAAGTCTGGTGACTTTGGTGGCCACTCAATGGGACCTCTCCATCCGATCCATTTGTTCGGATAATTAGTATCCAACCAGTGCCTAACTGGAGCTGCATAGTGAGGAGGTGCTCCATCTGGTTGGAGGTGCAGCAAATTTTTGTCTACAGCTTGGGTGTTCTGTAAACCATCGTGACAACTACAGCTGAATGACAGTACACATCGTACAAATGATGAAAACTAATGACATTTAAAATTCTCAAACAAACCAAAAATTATCGACTCTGACACAAGCCAAAAAGCAGATCTTTTCAACTTGTTTTGCAAAAACGGCTAATCAAGTTTTTATTTAACAAAAAAAGTATCAACAGACACTTATCATTCAAAATAATAGTCCGGGAGGTAGCATTACAAATAAAAAAGTGATAGTAAGTCGGCTGATATTAAAGTTCGTGCAGACTTTGACAATAGGCTGTATTATTGTTTACAAAACAAGGGAACCCACTTTGAACATTTACTTAATTGACATTTTCAACAAATTTGTAGTTCAACAAAAAAACTTATTGAATATTCCATTTAAGCCAAAGTTTCACAATTATTTTTTCACCCTATACAATTATCATTTATACCATTGGGTAGCATTTTTATAGTCTTTTTAATGTTGTATCACAAGTAGGGGTTTGCAATTTAAACTTTTTGAGTTTTGGTGGGTGGGGCCTAGGGGGTTGATGGGGGTGAGTTCTCTTTCATGTCACTTTAGTTCCCCCTTACTATCCTAGAAACGGTTTCAAGCATTTTTTGATATCAGCTCTCACTCGTGAGATATAGCCCATTGTAAGTTTTGAAATTGACACACTGTATAATATAATAATGCAGAATACATAAAGGCTACTTAAATTAAATGTATAAAAAAAGATTGACATATTAAGGATTTGCCAATGATATTGGCATTACGTGTAAAGGAGCAACCTCTGCACTTTTTAACATTCATTGCGAATTTATTGATTTGACACCAGTTATTTGTCAGGTCTAATTGAGACTGGAGATAAGAGCAGCTCTCTAAACTTGTGATAGATGAAAAGATCTTCAAGTCGTCTGCAAAAAGTAGGTTGTCACACGAAAGCTCGGAGGTGAGATCATTTATAAAGATGAAGCAGGGGGTCCCAGATTGAAGCCTTGTGGCACACCGGATGGTGATAAGTATGGTGTAGACGCAAATCCATTATAAAAAACAACATTGGTTCTCTGATCCAAATAACAGCCTAGAAGTTGAGTTAGTGAGAGATTTGAACCTATTTGGGCTATTTTCTCTAGTAAGATGGAGTGACTAATTCTCGACTCGTTCTTTTCTGTCCATTACTTCTATCAAAAACTGCTTGATACTGCAGATATTAGATACAGTGGACTTATTTGCTAGAAAGCCATGCTGGTTTGCAGAGATCAGGGGTTTGACTTGTGATATTAGTTGGTCATACACAGATATCTCGAAGGTCTTCGCGAAGTTACACAGAATAGATATTAGTCTATAGTTCTCAATATTCTCTGAATTGAGAATTTGGCAGATTTTTGATGGTTTTCATCGTTAAGGAAAATGAGATTCGCTTAGGATTGTGTTGAATATTTTCAACAATAGACAAGCAAGAACCTGAGCACAGTCCCTCACTAGGAAGCTATGAATGAAATCATATCCAGAAGTCATTTTATCGGGTAATTTCCTAAGTATTACTTGTTCCTCTGTGGAAGGTGTTATGAAAATATTTTCTCCTCTCATAGTATCAGAATTGAACTCAAGATTTGTATGGTGGAAGAAAAAGTTGCTAAAGAACGCAGCAAAATCGTTTCTATGTCTAGCTAGATGATGAGCTCTAACAACCAAGGAGCATCACAATAGATCTGAAAAAGTCGCAGTAAATCAGGCAATTGGCTAGCTCTCCGACAATTTAATCTAATCTGCCATCCACGGAATTTTGTTTATTTTCTTTCTCTTTCCAACTATACACCTCATCTCTGTAAAATCCTTTTTTTAATGTACAATCTTTCAAAAATCTCATACAGACACCTGTGCTGAATCACATCTGAATGTCAAATTTCAACTACGAGTTGATATAATGTACCCAGTGTCTATACCAAATCGGGATTCGACAATCTATCAATGCTTTGAAGAAACCACACAAGTACAAGACTGGTTTGCATTACAACATCGACATACTCGTACACACGATCTAAAGAAGAAACCAAGTGGGAGGATTATGGGATCATTGATTGGCCTAGATAAATCAAAGTGTTTGCTCGGAGAACATGTAAATCTAAATATTGGACTCGATTAGGCAGGGGCGTAGTGAGAGATTATTACTGAAGGGTGTCGTGAACGAATTAGGCCACGTGTAGATATTTTTGTAGGCGAAACTACTTCTTCCTGGACTCTGAAGTTGACTTTTTTTCAACGGTCCATACTTCTTCTTCTATTACACGAGATTTGGTATTGTTGTGTTGGATAGTGGTCTTGTTGTGCTTGTTTTCACATGACTCATTAGAAAAATGCAAAGTCTGGAAGTTTTGAATTTGTTTGACCTACTCATTTTCAAATATGTGCATAATTTCCAGACCATGGATAGTGGAAATTGACAGCTCCAGCATTTCCTGAGCGACACACATGCAAGCAAAATATTCTTACACTTGTTGAGCAGTATATCACTGATCAGCTACAATACCAAGGATCTGGAAATCATCAAAAGTCTGTCCCATTTTCAAGATAGGAGATAGACGAGATATTTCAAATTATCGGCCTATCTCTATTATTTGCAACTTTGCAAATGTTTTTGAGGAGCTGGAGCGAGTTATATATCGGCATGCATGTCGAAATATAAACATAAACCAATACGGTTTTATGAAAAATCGTTCAACGGTCACCAATCTTCTGACTGCAACGCAACATATTGCTGAATCTATTGACAATAGGGCCCAAACTCATGTTATTTACACAGACTTTTCTAAGGCCTTCGACAGACTTGACCATGGCATTCTACTAAACAAACTAGTAGCCTTTGGATTATCTCCATCCTCAATCTCACTCTTTCATTCCTATCTACGGAATCGAAAACAATATGTTCAGCTCAATTGTTTCAAATCTACCGAATATATTGCTTTTTCCGGTGTTCCACAAGGGTCAAATCTGGGACCGTTGCTCTTCAATATCTTCATTAATAATATTGCAGATGTTATAGATGTGTATTTCCTTTTGTATGCCGATGATCTAAAACTATACCGCCTCGTTGAGAACATAGATGATTGTGTGAACCTCTCAGCAATCGTAGGATGGGTTGTAAAATGGTGTTATGGACATAACTTGTCGATAAACCCTGATAAATGTAAGGTCATGTCCTACAGTTTAAAAACGAACATCTTGATCTTTGATTATTCAATAGAAAATGTTTCCCTGGTGAGACCAGAAACATTTATTGATCTTGGCGTCACATTTGACACTGCACTATCATTTGATAGGCATATCGAAGATGTTGTAACCTCCTCCTGTCGTTTTTACGTAACAGTAGTGATACTAACCTATAAAATTATCAAAAGCATAGTTGACTGCCCAACATTACTGGAAAAGTTTAATATTTGCATTCCTAGAATCTGTTCCAGACACATCTCGCACAAATGTTCTGGAAAATTCTCCGATCCATACCATGTGTAAAGTGACAAACATTGTTAGCGATAATTTATATATATTCAGTTACAAATTGTCAGATATAAAATCCTACTTCCTAAAATAATTGTTTTGTCACCTATAATAAATATAAAATGTGTAGTCTTTATAGTCACTTGTTTCTATTGTTTGTAGTGTTTGTAGACTTTACTGTCACTTGTTTGTGATGTATTTATTATACTGTGTTATTTCCTGCTCTGTAATTGGGCTGCCCTGTAGAGTATTTTATTGCAAATAAATAAATAAATGAATAACTAAACAAATGAATCAGTATATATTTGATAAGCTTTGGTGTATGGTGTTATCAAAACTTGCATTAGTTTCTTGAGGGGTTGATGAAACAAGTTTGAGGTTATGTTCCTGCAGCTCCGTTCAAAAATGAGCAACTCATCCAATTGATTTTGGTAAAAATAACATCAAGTACTAACTCAAGTTTTGACATAGGTCCGGGTTGTTAGGCCAGGGATTGAAGTTGTGCGATTTCAGCCCCTTCCAGGACGCAGTTGTCCGCTTTCTGACTCCCGGCGGTGTACTCCTCGAGGATACTTTTGACCCGCTTCGACGTATCTTCCATTGCTGCCAGGAGTTTTGCAGGGGGAAACGGGAGCTTCTTCCTAGATATCCTTCTGGGTCCTCCACGGGGAGTCCATGGTGTGGTCAGCTTGCTGATGGCGTTGGTGTTAAGGCTGTTCATCGTTCTTGTCGCGTATCGTCCTTGAAGTTCCTGAAATCGAAGGTTGATTGGTTTAGTATTTACTAGGTTGTATAAGGTTTGACATGTATAGCGGTAAGGGAGGTTGAGGATGTTTCGTGGGATTCTTTTCTCGGTTGTTAGGATGCTGTGGGATAGTCTCGGGTAAGCGTACAGTAGATCGTGACTTTCTAATCAGAAACTGGTCTGATGAACGTTTTGTAAGTGTGTAGAAGGGTTTTAATGTCGCATCTCCCGAGCTTGCCTCTCATTGCTTTCAGTAGATTTGCTCTTTTCCGGGCCCTGTCCAGAGTTTCTCTCAGGTCGACTTCCCAGTTGAGGGTCCTCGTGAAGGTGACCCCCCCAAGTAGGATACCGAGTCTTGGAGTATGGGGTTTTCTCCTAAAAGTGTGAGGTTCAAGTTATCAGTGATAAAAACAATGCCTCTTTACAAAATTCTTTTATTAGAATAACTCATGAAAAATATCAGTACATCGTCAAGTCCATTTCCTTTCAGAACGAATCCATCAATCAGTATCGGTATCCTCCCTGATGACTGTGACCAGCGCTGTGCCCGGTGAACTGGGTTGTCCTTCCAGCAAAAAATCCTGGTTGGTTTCCTGCGAAACCTCCCGTGTAACCGGTACTGTAACCACCACTGTACTGCGTCTCTCTGTACTGACCCTCATCAACTATTCCGCGAGCTTCGTCAGCCAAGTTCTGTTCGATGGACCTTTGGATGGCTTCCGGAATTGGTGGAGGAGTGGGGAGATGGGCACCAGAAGCGTGGAAACCATTTTCATCGGCTGCAACAAGATATTCGGTTGACTGACTATCAAAAACATCCTTCAGTGTTGAAGGAGATGTGAGCTACCGTAGCTGCACAGTGAAACACTTGTTCTGAGAATGCTGAACTCTAATGTTTTGAGTTTCTTGAAGGATTGAGATTAATGTCTTTTGGGAAATAACCCTTTCCTATAATTTCAAGGTAGTTTGCAATGGGTCGCTGTAGCACCCCTGCGATATACAGATAGCTGTCTATTGATGATTTTAGAATAATTCAGAAATTTTAGGGTTTCAACTGATTCAAAATGGTACATATTCATAATACTTCGCAATGCGTTTGAATTTGAATTTGAAAAGGAGTGATTTGAGTTCTGTCGAGCATTAAAAAGTTTCTGTAGCATATACGAATTCCTAATTTAGAATAGTACTCCAAGTTTTTGAGGTGCTGCATATATTGTTTCAGTTACTAGATTATTCTAAAACGTGTCGAATTTGACACCAAAAAAATTATTCAAATGCTGCTAGCAGAATGGGGATTATTCCTCAATTTGGGTTATTACAGCAAACGCAAGTTTGAACAAAATAAAGTTGAGTTTAATTCATGAGTTTTTCAAATTCAATTCGAAAAGTATTCAAATTGATGTTTCGAATGTTGGGTTTTAATTTTTAAAGGGATTTGTTTCTAATTCACATACTGGCAACAGCACCGAGAATACTACATCGGAGTTCAGATTACCTGGATATTCTACTTTAAAAAAGGAAAATTATCTTTATAAATCAACAATTAAGGCAAAATATAAATTATAGTTCAATACCACCTCCACAAGCCACATAAACAGCAGTTGTTTTGTTATTTATTTATATAGAGAAAGATAGGTTCGGTGCACAAAATGTCATATGTCACAGAATATCTCGGAACATAAGTAAACAGAACAGCACGCCTCTGAAATATGTCATCTTTGTTTGTCTCATACAGGTAACAGATTCATTGTCCTTTATTAGCTATAACCGATGTTGCCAAATGGTGAAATAGAAACGAATCCCTTTAAATGTTGAATGCATTATTTCATTCTTTTTTTTTAAGTATTTAAATAATTTTTTAAAGAAAAAGGTTGAAATGATAAGTTTAAAATGCGTTGTTTTATAGCTCTTTTATGAAAACTACTCGGGAGGATGTACAATTGGTCACATGTGCTGTGGGCCTACACCCACCTCCCCTACTCTATAGATACAGATATTATGTTCGGTATATCGTTTTCTTCTTGTGAAGAATTTCTTCTGAAAAATCTGCAAAACTACGAACAAAAAAACAGCCTGGGCATGTGGTATCGGCGTTAATTAGTAGGCAAGGATAGGATCAAAGTGAGCGAAACTCATCTTGTAATGCAGGTGTTCAGTATCTGTTTGACAAAAACAAAAGCGATGCCTGTGACAGATGTTTGCTGCAGAGTTTTTCATTACCTGCCATGCCATGTTCAGAAATCTAGACACAGACAGTTTTTTGGCTTCCTAGAGAGGAGAGGTTCTTAGCAGTTTGATACCAACTTGGACGTAGTTCAAGAGCCAAGCCGCTTGTCTACCGATAGTCTGTTACATTCCGCAAAAACCAGTTTTAGGAAACTGTAAGTTGTTCAAGCTCTCTCTCTCTCTCCAGAAAGAGTGGTCTACCTCTCCAAGGTGGGTCTAGCTAGAAGAATACCTTCACCTTCAGAAGAGAGTTTCATCTGACCCATTTACTATTACATTTCATGCAGTGAATTCATTTGGGCTCCAAGCCCCAAAATTTTCCACAGGTCCTTCGACATGCCCATAGAGATAGTCTGGCTTTATGACGAATATTTTCCAAGTGACTTTTCTGTTGAGAGGAATATATTCAACTTCTGCTGTGAATGATTAACCTCACCATGAAGGAAATAGAGTTGAATCACCCAGATTCCTCCTTCTGATGAAGGGAACTATCAAAATTATATTGGACTTTATAGATATCTGCTTCCTCTTACACTTACGGTGAACAGCTTTATGAGCTTGCGTATCTACCTATCCGCTGCCAATGATAATCAAGCAAACTGTCAATCAGGAGTGACCACAGAAGGGGAGTTACTCCTATGGGGAACTCCTGGTGACCTTGAACCTAATGGCTTCACTTCAAAAAGAGCTATTTTGTTCTATGAGTCAACTTCCATGACGGTGAAGCAGTCAACACTGTCAAAAAGTATCATACAACAACCACTAACCTGTATATTGGAGTTGTATCTGCTGTCCTTCGGGCGATGAGTAAGAGAACCCTCCATGAGCTCTTGTTCCATCCCCTCTGGCGTCTCCTTGCTCCTGAGCGCTGATACCGTTTCCGGTTTCGTAGGAGAAGCGATAGGTTCCATCGCCTTCGTTGACGTTGTCCAAACTGCGGATAGGGATCTGTTGACCGGATCCTGAGTAGGCTGACGAACCTGAGTATGCTGTGGCGAAGCCTGTTGCTGGAGCTTGGCCGGTGAATCCTGAGAATGAGTCGGACTGGTAGCTTCCTGCGGGTCTTTGGTAGGGGGGGAGGTAAGAGGTGTCGAGTCTGGCACTCAAGGCGGAGCCTAAGAGGGTGAGTGCGAGTAGGACCTGGAAGAAGAGCGAGAGTAGATTCAACGATTATTTGAATTACACGTGGAGGTTTCATAGGTTTTGATGTACAGATTTTATAGGTTTTCTTTTGTTTTTTTAATAAATATAAGGAATATTGCGAATACACATCTTCTTGTCAATAATACACTACAACTCACAATCGAGCTGGAAAGTAATGGTTTTAGATGCAACTGCAATGAGTTTTTGCCTGACTATCGGATTATATGGCATCAGAACCATCACTAATTAAGTACACTTCTGAATTGTCTAAATAGAATTGTCCAACCCATAGATGGCGCTATTCGTATTGTATTCACCGCTTTTTCAGTTGGTACTAACCTTTAAAAGAAAGCTGTTAAAATTTCATGATACTCTACTCATGAGTTTGTGAGTTATTTTGCTGAGAGTGACACCATTTTTGTTGATTTAAAAACAATGGATGAAAAACAATTTCGTGTTTTGATTTTACACTGCTTCTTGATGCGAAAAAACAGCGTTTTCTTTCTCAGGCTCGGCTTAGGCTTAGGTTCAATACCAATATTTCTGACACAGAAGATGGAATATTTATTGTCAAGACTGACAAATTGAAAAAAATGTTCAGAAACAAATTATGACAAAAGATATAAGGATATTTAACACTGATTCATGTGGTCAAAAGTATTTGACATTAATGATTTTGTTTTCGGAGCTGACACAATTGTAAAGTGAGAACAAAAATCAAACAGATGCATGTCAAACTTTTTGGGGTATATCAACTATTCCTTCTCTAACAGATAACCAAAAGGCATACTTAGATTTTCACTACCTTTTTTTAAATCCACGTTTTTCGTGTGTTTATTGATCTGAATCATCTCAAGAAGTTTTTTTGAACGAGTCATTCAGTGTGTGAAACTTGTACTTCTATTTTAATTCAATATAGAGTTGAAGCGCTGGAATTTTTATTCCACAATTATTGTTTCATATTTTATTGACAATATATGACTTGTTTATTCAGGTATGGATTTTTTTCAGTAAGATTTTTGATTTCTCGATAATTTTGATGCCGCTTTTTAAATATCGAGCTATTTTGTACAAAATTAGATGATATTTTTTGCTATATTGAGAGCTGGAAGTATGCAGTTTTCATGTATTTGCTCACTGGAACTTTTGCTTGATATTTTTGTTTCTAACTAGTGGTAAGAATTATTCTCTTAGAGTTACTTTATCATAAATTCAAAACTACCAGTGGAGGTGGAAGATTTTTTTCACTTTCTGAAGAAAGTCCTAACTTTGCAACTAGTTGTAAAGGGCAAGACAACAAAACCACATCCGAGCTTAGAAATTATATTATAGGTACATATTTTAGTGAGCCAAGAAATTTTTGTAATGGGTGATATTTGTATAGGAAATAATGAAGCTAAATTTATAGCACTTGGAGGTATTTCAGTTTTCATTCAAGTATTGTAAAGAAAGTCATCATCAAAATATGCTTCAATAGAGACAAGCTAATTTTATCTTCGGATGAAAACTTTTGGAAACTAAATCGGTTTTTTCAAAAATGATCTTGTGAATAACGTGAACCTCGAAAACTTCGTAAATAAGTCAAATGAGAAAACTGAAAACAAAAACCAAATACTAAAAGAATACTCCTGCATCTACAATGAGAACAGAGATTGTTTTGACACTCATAGCTTGTCTTGTCTTTGTTCTGTTGAATAGATGAGAAAAATCAGTTATAAATTCAATGTTCGATTAGCTTCCGAAAAACAACGTGATCTAATATCTGCTTATCAATAATTTTTGTCAAACTCAATATTTTTTTCCATTAATGCACTTCAAAAACTATTTTTATTGATTTAAGGAAAGTACAATACCAAACAAAGGTTCCTCTCCAAGTGGAATTCAGATAATATTTTCTAGAAAATCTAGTACCGTGAAAAACGCAACAATAGCTGGCAAAAACTCCAAAACTCTTACCTTCATTTCTAAGTAAAACTACCACACTCAGATATCAGAGCAAGAAATGATCGAATGATATCAACAACTCGCTCCATTTGACTTTTATACACATCGTCACCTCGTGGTTTAGCCCCCGAAATTAAAGAAGGATGGGCCGGCAATCACATTCAAATGATTCGAATGATTTTTTTAGATTGTAGAATCGGATCACCTTTAGGATGGGCTTCAAGGTCGCGGGTAATGAGTCTGCGATTCTTCGCAGTGTCTAACTGAAGAACGCTGCATACCTCAAGAAGGTGTATTTTTGCATGGTTCTCTTGTTTCCCAGTGCAGGATTCAAGTACTTTATTAATTTTTACCCTCAATCAAAACTGTGAAGTTTATTAGAAATACTTTTTTGATCATTAGAAAATGAAATTGATGAAGAAAATGTGTGAGATTCATGAAGAAGTGAAGATAACTGTATGCAACAAAGATTGAAAAATTCCAACCTGGGTAGAAAGTGACATAAGTAGGTGAAAAACTTGTGTAGGTTAGATTAGGTTAGGTAGTCCAAAGTGAGTGGATCTATTCGACCCTCCACCGCAACCTGCAAGGGTTTATTGTGGCTCATACCTATACGAAGCCGATTAGTTTGTATGATGAGTGGTGTTTCACGTCAAATGGTAAGAGTACGGCTCTGCCGAACTCTAGAAACCTGATTCGGTCCCCAGCGGGGCAGGCACAAAAGTATGTGCTCTGCTGTTTCATCATTTTCCAAACAGAGGCGAAACACACTGTCTTCCGACAGTCCGAGTCTCTGCAAATGGCATCCGTGGAATTACTCACAAGTGGTTCGAAAATTATCTCACAGGAAGAAGTCAGATTGTGAAAACCTCATCATCCTCATCAGAAGGCGAAATTAAGAAAACAAACAAATTTTCCCACAATAACAATAAATGCATTCTCCGAAGAAGAGATTTTGCAAACTCTCAGACAATTAAAACCAAAATTCACAGCGGGAGACGACAAAATTCCAAGCTTTCTAGTAAAAGACTCTGCATACCTACATTTTTGCAAAGCCACTTCAATTAATTTTCAACAACAAGTAGTGGTGCTCCTCAAGGAAGTAATCTAGCCCTTCTTCTATTTTTTTGTTTATAAATGATATTGTTTCAAATATCTCTAGTAACATATTACTCTTTGATGATGACTTGAAGATTTTCAGATCCATTGAATCAACCGAGGACTGTCTTATTCTGCAGAAGGAAGTTAATTCGATGAACAAGCTTCCACTGAAGCTTCCACAACAATATATAGTTTGAGTATGCAATAAATGACGTCATATTAGAACAAAGCACGAAAACTAAAGATCTGGGCATCATATTCGATAAGAAACTTATCACAAATTAATCAAATAACATCTTCTGCAGAAAAAATGCTTGGCCTTATCTTCAGGACGTGTAGAGACTTTCAAAACCAAGAATGTTTTGATGCATATGTCCGATCTCGTCTGGAATATGGCTCCCTAATGTGGTCACCTATATACAATGTGCATATACAGCAACTCGAATGTTGTCAAAGAATCTTTATTAAATACATGGCTTACAAACTGGATGGAGCTCACCCATCCCAAGGAATAGAGTGTTGCTAAATAGAGTTGCCCTCTTATCCTTAGAGATTCGCTTAGGATTGTGATAGACAAGCAAAAACCTGAGCACAGTCCCTCACTAGAAAGCTATGAATATGATCATATCCAGAAGTCATTTTATCGGGTAATTTCCTAAGTGAAAGTATTACTTGTTCCTCTGTGGAAGGTGTTATAAAAATATTTTCTCCTCTCATAGTATCGGAATTGAACTCAAGATTTGTATGGTGGAAGAAAACGTTGCTAAAGAACGCAGCAAAATCGTTTCTATGTCTAGCTAGATGATGAGCTTTAACAACCAAGGAACATCACAATAGATCTGAAAAAATCGCAGTGAATCAGGCAATGGGCTAGCTCCCCGACAATTTAATCTAATCTGCCATCCACGGAATTTTGTTTATTTTCTTTCTCTTTCCAACTATACACTTCATCTCTGTCAAATCTTTTTCTTAATGCACAATCTTTCAAAAATCGCATACAGACACTTGTGCTGAATCACATCTGAATGTCAAATTTCAACTACGAGTTGAAATAATGTACCCAGTTTCTATACCAAATCGGGATTCGACAATCTATCAATGCGTCGAAAAAACCACACAAGTACAAGACTGGTCTATTGCATTACAACATCGACATACTCGTACACACGATCTAAAGAAGAAACCAAGTGGGAGGATTATGGGATCATCGATTGGCCTAGATAAATCAAAGTTTTTGCTCGGAGAACATGTAAATCTAAATATTGCACTCGATTAGGCAGGGGCGTAGTGAGAGATTATTACTGAAGGGTGTCGTGAATGAATTAGGCCACGTGTAGATATTTTTATAGGCGAAACT